TTTGGCGACGTCTCGGCATGATTCAAAACAAACGAAAGAACATAGAAGATGTGCTTTCTAAGGTTGGGGAAACCTAAAAAGCACTACTGATGATACAAACAACAAAAAAGGAAGACTAAAGGGTGACACAAGGCTACCGGAACATAAATAGGGAAGAAAAAGAATGACAATGGTCACCAGAAAATAAGGAAAAGAGAGAAAGGATAGTTACTCACCAAATTGCAAAGGTCCTACTACAATGGAGAGATTGATGGCTTCCTTCTCCGTTGGATTCTGAATAGTTTGACGCTTTCTCAGGTGAAAATTGTGGATTCTCCTGCAAAAGGCTTCGATGGAAAGCTCTGAAATATGAAGAGTGAAAAAAAGGGAAAAAAAGAAGCAAAGGCTCTGCTTAAATAAGAAAACCAGCTTTATCATTGTGTACCAAACATGAAGAAGGTGCATTAAATGGGCACGATCTCCAAGGAAGGAAAAATGATTGTACAGCAGAGGCAAAGCCCTTTCATCTTTTCATGACCTGTCCCCTTGCCGTACGAAGATCAAGGGCTGGGAGACAATTGATGGGACACTTTAGAGAGTCAGCTAATAGTCGACACGTGTCCTCGGCATCAGAAACTTGGAGACATAGAAGACTGACATGCATCATCGACATACTTCCCTTCGGCATTAAAGGTCCCTTGGATTCATATGAGATGGACACGTGTCATCGGTACGAAGGTACCTCAGACCATATGAGATGGACATGTGTTCTCGACACTAAAAGTACCTCAGGCCTGTAGGAGTTGGACACGTGTCCTCGGCACCAATGTTTTCTCGGCATCATATGTGAATGACACATGTCTTCAGCACAAGGGTTCTACAAAATCCCTACGAGCGACACGTATCCTCGGCGTGATTGATTACTCCAAGGTTCATTTTTGGACATGTCACTTCGGCTCCAGGACCTAAAACAAAAGTGTCAGAACGACGACTATCATTATTTGGAGTTAAACCTGGTCAATAATCATTGACTTCTCTTCCCCAAGCAGCCAGAATTGAAAGAAGGGATAGACCCACGCCCAATGACTATGTTACACATGGCAAAATGCGCAGAATCAGGGGCCAAAAGACAAAGATGCCCCTATTCATGTGTAGCCATAACAAGAAAATATTTAATAATTTCTCAGAAAGATGAGACGTAGTTAAAACTTGAAAAGCCCAAGAAAAAAGAGCATTAAATGCTCGGTAGCCCGACCATTTAATATCTGAACCTCTTCCACGCAAAATGAAAGATGCTCTATCAAAGGACTGGGCACTGCCCACTACCTTCCAAATGGACCAATGGGGGGCACATTCTTCAAGGGGCCCACTTACCAGTAATAATGACTTTCATGAAGGTATAAATTGCTCTTTAAATTTCAAAGTAAAGGTATGTAAGACTCATTCTCAATAATACAACAGTGTTTTTTCCCGTCTCTCTCACACATTGACTTGACTGTCAGAGGGGTTACACTAGAAAATACTCCGGCACACTTCTAACTTTTTTTTTTGAGTGGCAAATTCTTTCTCGACTCGTCGGAATTGCGCGGACAATTGAAAAAATAATTTATCACCACTGCTTACGATCTTTCTCACTTTTTGTTGTCTCGGGATCCTCAATTTTTAAATAAATCTCGTATTTACCAAATGAGAGATCTGTCTTTTGTTTTTTATTATGTAAAAATCAACATGCACAAACACCAATATTAATTGATTTCATATAGTCATACGGTCAAATGCATGTCACTTGAGTAATTGAAGAAATAATACAAGATTTTGTATATGAGGAATTTTCTATAGTCTGATGACTCTAATGCTCCGTTTGGTAGGGATGATGGAAAGTATGAGCGATACACTTTCAATCTTTCAAGGATGGAAAATAGGAATGATACACTTTCATTCATTTGTATTTGGTTGGATGGATAGAAAATAAATTTTTTTTTTTTTTTGTGCTGGCTAAGATTAGGAGTGACAATAGAGTCGAGTCGTGTCGTGTCATCGTGTTGAGTCGAAAATTTTTACCGTTAGTTAAGATAAAAAAAAATATTTTTTTTTAACTTAAAATTTTTATTTTTTATATTTTCTTAATTTTTAATTTTTAATTTTTTTTAAATTTTTTTAATATATATATATATATACCTTTATATTCTTATGTGAAATTAATGTATACATAAGATATATAGACAAATAAAATATATCTCAATACAAATAATTAATTTTATATCCACTTTTCTTTCGATTTTGGAGAGATTAATTTTGATAAGTTGAAAGGAAAGTTAATCTATCCATTTTTTCATCATTCCTTACCAAACATGATATTTTATTTATCCTTCTCATATTTATTTTTTTAATTTTTTATCATTCTACCTTTTTGTTCACCGTACTAAATGTAGCATATGCTCCAATTGCTCGGAGAGGTAGGCAGGCAAACCGGGCCGGTCAAGGTGCATTGAACTTCGGCATTATGACTAATTGAGTTTCCTCTTTCCAACGACAGCTCCATTAGAACCTCAAGTCAATGGGTGATCCATTAATTATCATTAATATCTTTTCAATGATGTTACAAGTTTTTCAAATAAAAGTTATACAAAGACATATACGATTTTAAAATAACATGATTGATTATAAAAATTATTACTCTTACGAAAAATTTAAATTTTTAAAGGTCAAAAAAATAATAACTTTATTTTCTACTACATTTAAAAATTTTAAAAAATAATAACTTTTGCTACTATAGAATTACACTTAAAGTTTTATTGTGTCACATTTTAATTGTTCTCCTTGCAGATATAAAAAACTAAGGTACTTGGTACAACAATGTACCGTGAAGAGTGTGTAGTTTTTTTTTTTTTTAATTTCGGTTAAAGTATAAGTAAGTAATTAAAATATAAGTAGATAATGTTGTACCGTGAAGGGTGTGTAGTTTTTTTTTTTTAATTTCGGTTAAAGTATAAGTAAGTAATTAAAATATAAGTAGATAGATTTACCGGAGTTCAAATAAAAATACATGTACAAGTTTACTATAACTAAAGTATAAATAATCAAAATTATTGTGGGTATCAAACAATATAAATGATTTAAGTTGTTATTGTACTTATGTTTTGTTTTATCATGTAGGTATTTTTCCATTAGCCATGCAAGGAACCATTGCCAGAGTGAACTTTATCGCCTAATTGATACATGAATTATAATTTCAGAGTCATATGTATAGTTTATTATGACCATTTGTGCCACATAAATAACATATTTCATCATTTTTCGCTAAAAAATCTAACGAAGACAGATTAAAGGACACAATTGACACAAATATCATAGTTTGAAGGTCATATGTATAGTTTACTACAATCATTTGCGCTATGTGAGTGTCATATTTCGTCACTTTTTATTAGAAAATTTAACGAAGACAAATCCAAAAGTTCAATTGATACAATTAGAGAGTTTAGGGGTTCGATTGACATAAAAAAAATTGAAAAACTTAATTAATACAATAATCATAATTTGAGAATCATATATATAGTTTACTCAAGAATATATTATGCTCAAATGGAGGGTTTTGGTTAAATGATTTCAAAAATAATTTTATAGAATAGAAAATAATAAAACATATTTGGATAGTCTAAATATATGTTTGAACAATAATTCAAAAATTACTAAAAAAAAATATATGAGAAGTTTTTTATATAAATCAAACAGATTCAATACTCTTCGTCAAAAATAAAATTAATTTATATATAATTTTTTTTATATAAAATCAATAAATTTATGTATCAATTTCAATATCAATATCAATTTATAATATATTAAATAAATATCAATTTGTAACATATTGAATATCAATTTATATATAAAACCAATAAATTTATATATCAATTTCAAAATCAATGCCAATTTTTTAATAGATTCAATATCAATTTATAATAGATTCAATATCAATTTATATATAAAATCACTAAACCAAACACCAATAATTTTTTTTTCAAAAAAAGAAGGAAAATAACGCCAGCTCTGGAGCTCCTTGAACCAACGCCGACAGCATCGAAGCCCTAAATTTCAGAGCCTTAAATGTTCATGATGACTGCAAGCTGAAGTTTTTAGACTTGAAGGCAAAAAGAACCTACCTCTTTATTGTCTTCAAAATTAGAGAGAAGCAAAAACATGTGGTTATGGAAAAAGGTTGGCGAACCAACTGAAAGTTATGAGGATTTTACTGCAAGCCTCCATGCTAATGAGTGCTGATATGAAGTCTTGAACCAACGCAGGATCTGAAATTCCTTGAACCAGATATGAACTAAAAAATCTCAGATCTGAAGCCCCTTGGTTTATTGATTATATATATCTCACATCTGAAAGCCCCTTGAACCAGATCTAAACCAAAAAATCAGATCAGATAAAAAATAAACAAAAAACAAGATCAGATCTGTGTTTGACGCCAGATCTGATGCAGATAAGATCTGAGATCGCCGGAGAAAACTGTGTGTATCATCTGGTTTCGCCAGAGTGGAAAGAGACTCAGGGAGAGAGAAAGGCCAAAAAATAAAAGAGAAAGGCAAAGAAAAAAAGAAACTTTTTTATAGTGAGATAGGTTTTGCTGCTAAGGTGGTTTGAAAGGAATACCTCATTAACGAGGAATGGATGTACTGCCAGTTTCCTTCTTTAGTCTCCAAAACACCCAAAACAAGCCTAGTTTATTTTTTATTTTTTACATTCTTCTTTTTTCGAAAATTAGAGAAGAAAAATCAAATCAAATATATTTTCATTATTTTTAGAATTTTTAGAAAAAAAAAATAATTTTCAAAAATCAAACCAAACAGACCAGTTTTTTTTTTTTGGGTTCTGCAGTCAAGGAGTCTACCTTTTGAATTTTATTAATTGCAGAGACGCAGTTTCAGCAGTGGCCCACACGGGCTTCGGATGGCTAAAAATTCTACACTAGTCTATTTCCGAGAGCCTTCGACACTAGTTGTTGAGGTAACTGCCTTCTTTCTCAAGCATTACTGTTGACGAAGAACACGATTTAGCGGCTTCACCATCTTCGTTATGCTTTGAACTGTCCGTAATCTTCTCTAATTCTTTTCTCTCGTCTCTCCGAACGTACTCATCCTTCTTCTCTAATTCGTTTAATCAAATTCTATATGGCGTATGCAACAGATTTTCATGAAAAATCTTGCACGATTTCAAGCTCTCTACCTGTTCGATCTTTTGTCTCAGAGATTTTAGAGTTTAGATGCTATTCATTTTTTGTGAATTCTTACACGCACAGATGATATAATAGAGTTTTTTGTGTTCTTCTTGAATTGGCAACTCCAATCAGTAGGTTAATTGGGAGTATAAATGTCCACGGATGCCCTTATTCAATAGTCTTCTGCTACTATGAACACTTCCAATTCCAAATTCATTAACCACTCAATTTCAGACCCGCGAGAACAAAATCATGTAAATCGATACGAATGTAACCATGGATTTAAAGATCTTTCTGTTCTTTCAGACGGGTCAAACCCTGTTGGTGAAAGTTCCTCGGAAGGAAATACTTCTGAGGAACCAGACGATTCCGATGCAATTCTCAAGTACATAAAGCAAATTCTCATGGAAGAGGACGACTTGGACCTTAGACCTTGCACGTTCCATGACAGTTTGGCTCTGTTAGCGGCTGAGAAATCCTTATATGATGTCCTTGGTGGGAAGTACCCAAATTCACCCAATCAACACCATTCATGTGCTCTCAATCAGTATTCTGATAACCCAAATGCTGATTTCACTGGGGTTTGTAGCAGTGACAGTATTAACACTTCTACTGATGTGAACAATTTTGTTGAGTCCAATAGGAAAGATCCAGGTGAGTTTGAGTCCCCCCTAGTTCAACCTTCTCTCAGTCTGCAGCCGATGCAGTCACTTGGCTCTTCAAACAGCGTATTTACTGCGAGAAATAGGTTTGAGGATTCGTATATGAGTACATTTCTGTATCTTGATTCATTTAGTAAGAGCCAATTTGACTTTCAATCCAGTGCAGGAAAAGTGACCCACTCCCACCCAAATGATAATTATTTCAGTTATGATCCGAAACTGAAGGACAAGGCTTCAAAAGTCTTGGAGGAGGCTGAGGAGAGTGGCAGGGACCATTCATCTTATGGATCAAGGCGAAAGAAGAATCAGTATCAAGAAAATAGTGATTATACAGAAGAACTCAGGAGTAAAAAACATTTGGCTAGCTACGTTGAGGAATCTGAGCAATCAGAGATGTATGATAAGGCCTTGCTCTGTGACAGTTTGTTTCGTGGCTTGCACATTGAGTCCGGCATGTGTGACTCTGATGAAGCCTCACAATATGGAACAAGGAACAAATTGCAGCAGAGTGAAGGGTCAAATCGAGGGAGGCCGCATGCTAAGAAACAAGGTATTGGAAGGGAAGTGGTGGATTTGAGAAGTCTCCTAACTCAATGTTCACAAGCTGTGGCAAGCTACGACATCAAGACTGCTAATGAGCTGTTGAAGCGGATTAGGCAACATTCTTCTGCTTGCGGTGATGGTACAGAAAGGTTGGCTCATTACTTTGCTATCGCTCTTGAGGCACGCATGGCTGGTACTGGAAGTACACTTCATACAGCTTTCGCTACCAGCAGGGTATTGGCTGCTGACATCTTAAAATCTTACCATTTGTATATTTCAGTGTGCCCATTCATAAAGATGTCAATTATCTTTGCAAACAAATCTATTATGAAACTAGCTGATGGAGCGACAAGGCTTCATATAATTGATTTTGGCATTCTATATGGCTTCCAGTGGCCAAGCCTTATCCAGACCCTCTCTGAGAGGCCTGGAGGTCCTCCAAAACTTTGCATTACAGGAATAGATCTTCCCCAATCAGGTTTCCGACCAGCAGAGAGGGTTGAGGAGACAGGGTGGCGTCTGGCAAATTACTGCAAGAGATTCAATGTCCCATTTGAGTACAATACCATTGCAATGAAATGGGATACAATTCGACTTGAGGATCTCAAGATTGACAGAGATGAGTTGCTTGTTGTTACTTGTTTTTACCGGCTAGAGAATGTTCCCGATGAGACAGTTACAGAGAAAAGTCCAAGGGATGCTGTTCTGAAATTGATCAAGAGGATTAATCCTGATATGTTCCTTCATGGAGTTGTTAACGGGACCTACAACACCCCTTTCTTCAGTACACGATTCCGAGAGACACTCTTCCACTTCTCCGATTACTTTAATATGTTTGAGGCTACTGTATCACGTGAAAATCAGGATAGAATGCGGTTTGAACAAGAAGTTTTGGGAAGGAATGCCGTGAACATCATAGCTTGTGAGGGTGCCGAGAGGGTTGAAAGGCCCGAGACATACAAACAATGGCAAGTTAGGATTATGAGGGCAAGGTTCAGGCAGCTCCCACTTGACCACGATATCGTGAATGGTATAAGGGATAAGGTGAAGTCTCGTTACCACAAGGACTTCGCCGTGGATGAAGATGGCAACTGGATGCTGCAGGGATGGAGGGGGCGAGTCATCCACGCTCTCTCCTGTTGGAAGCCTGTCCAGGAGTGACAATAATGCAATGCTTATTACAGCTTAGGTTTGGTGAACCTTGGTGCTCCACTGCCCAAGTATTTTTGAAGCCAGAGCAAGTGTAATGCGCTTTTCTTTAATGACTTATCTGATTCTTTCCATGTTTGTTGTACATTCGGTCAACTAAATTCTGGTAATATATAGATGTTCTAGATAGAATTCTGTCCCTTGTCATCATCTAGTTGTTTCCTGTTTAATTTTAAAGCTGTAATTATACTGTCATGCTTTGAAAAATTAGAAGCATTAGCTTCTAATCGCATTTGTTAGCACCCAGCTAGCCGTTAATGGAGTTGAAGAAAGAAGCAAGTCACTCAGCTCCAGCGGCATGCCTCACGCCAAAATCTCAGTTTTGTCTGTGGGTGGGTGGTGGTGGTTGTGTTTTGGTTGGGTTTCAGTGTTAATCTCAGCTTGATCTACCATAAAATGAGAGTGAAGTGGTGATTTTGTTCGGTAAGATTAGGACAAAAGAGGGTTGTTCGGGATACCATTGCACCAAAAATTTGTAAGATCATTGTGTTGAAGAAAATGAAATACTTTAATCAATACATAAAATATGAAATTTTACATGAAAAAAACATATATCAATTTTGTGAATGTGGCATCCGAATATGAAATAAAGATTTGTCAAAATTAGGACATTGTAATTGATTAAGCTAAAAGTAATCATATTTAAACCTAAAAATCTGACCTAATTTGTTGACATAATAATGTGGTTTTACTGAAACCATTAAATCAACACTAAGTTTCAATATTTGATAGAACCCACAGTTAATCAAAATATCATAATGAATTAAGTTAGTAAATTAGGTCAATAAATTAAGTCTCAATAGCATTGCGTTTAAACTAGTAGTCTAAACTCGAAAAATTAGACAAATATGAGGATTATCAGGGTCAAAAAAGATAAAACATAATAATCAATACTTGTAGTATAAAAATGTTATTTGAAAATCTATAATAATAAGATAGAATCAAATTTAATTTTTTTTTCACTTCAAATTTAATTCAATTTTAATCCAGCACAAAAATGGTTCATATTTAATCTATTTTTATTCAATTGCCCAAATTTCATCTCAAATCCTCTAACTTAATCCAAAGGTCCATCATGAATTCCACACAAATTACTTCTCCCACCCATTTTAACCCCACACACACGCCACCCCCTTAGCCCAAAATATCCCCCATTTTTGAATCCACTCTCTCTCTCTCTGCTCATCTGCCTGTTAAACAAGGAGAGCGTTTAAAAATCATTCCGATAGACGGTGACATCATAAGATTCTTGATCGTGTTCGTTATTTTTTTTAGAATAAATTTAATTAAGTTAATATAACGGTCAACTACCAAGTTTTAATGTAAACTCTAACACTCAAATCTTTAATTTCAGAGTAGGTGAAAATTTCGATCAATACTCAACTGGACCAAGTCGTGACTGTTATTTCAACCGTTTGAACTTGAACACTCGGGAACAAATTATCATCCAGCAACGTTAAAAAAAATTCAGTCAGATAAAATTGATTGGCGTTGAATACCAACAGCCATCTCAACAAACAAAATAAAATAAAAAATGACATGTTAGGCAAATAAGCTACCTCGGTTATCGGAGGAAACGGTTTTTATTTTCTCCCTCCTTCAATTTTTCTCTCTCCACTGGCATGCCTATCATTTCAGCCCTTTTCATCCCTTCAGGCTTCAGACATCCTGCCATGGTAGATTTCTTCTCTTTGAATTTATTTACAACTTTTCAAACTTTGCTCACCTCTCTCGCTCTCTCTCTCTCTCTCTCTCTCTAAGTTGCACCATCTGTTTTCCTCCATTTCTAACAAGTTTCACCGATAACCATTTTTTGGTGCAAGTGACATTTACACAGGTACTGAGAAAAAAAAAATTTACACAGGTATTGTTTTCTCCAATTTTACATTTGATTGCTGCCTTTTGTGAGTGGTGTTTAATGTGTCGGTTTGGCCTATGGTGGTGTTTTGCATGTGTGGTCGTTGTGCGTGTCTTGTGTGTTACCATGTGGTTTTTGTGTGCAATGTGTAGTATCTGTGTGGGTTAATGTATGTGTGTCATGTGTGTATTAGCATGGAGGTATGAAAAAGATAAATTATTATTTTTATTGAAAAATATTAGTTGATCAATTTTATTATGATCTTAATTCTAATTGTTATTTTTATCTTTCAACAATAACGTCAAGTAACGAAAAAGAAATTGTACAAATAAGTACGTGTTATTTAAATTTTGTTTTGAGATACTTAGCATTCATTTTCGATTGCTATAATTATTATTTTATTTTTTACAAATTGGTATGCATGGTATGCAGTGATAATGATAAATATTATTTGCAACTTTAAAATAGTGTCATTTATTATTTTGAATATGTATAGATCAAATTGATGATGATGATATTGAAGAAAACTATGTTTACGAACAATATTGATATCTCAAATGGTGTGTTAAGTAGCCAAAGTAATGAATTTGAGTTAAAAGTTGATATGGTTGCGTATAGTGAAGAAGAAGTTTTTAATATGTATAACAAATGTTTCAACATTCGAAGAGATCAAAAGAGTTTTAAAAGAAATATTGGTGAACCTATTCGTCGTAGCTTTGTGTGTTCAAAAGAGGGGTTTAGAAAATTTACAAATTCTACTCAAGTGAAGAAGGTGGAGAGGTTAGAGACTAGGTGTGATTGTCGGGCTCGAGTAATGTTTAAAGTGGAAACTGATATTTATACAATTAGCCAATTAATTATCGAGTATAAACACCCATCTATTGAACCAAATCAAAGACATTTAATAAAGTCTTCACTTATAATACATAATACATGTAAGGGTAATATTACATTCATGATTGAAGTTGGTATAAGACCAACTAAGATATATGCATACTTGTTAGATGAAACAGATGATTATCAAAGTGTTGAATTTATTGAACGTCAAAGAGAAAAATACCATTCAAGATAAGCAACAATAGTGGATTGAAGAGAAAAAAATAAAAGTAAATCATAGAGAGGTTTTGAGGTTATGTAATCTAACTTATTTATAATACATATTCAATAACAATAAAATAATTTACAATTCAAATCTTCAAAGATAAAACAAAATGATTTTTGTTATTCGTGGTTGAAATCGCTTTAAATTTTACTTTAAAGTTGATCTAATGGCCAATATTAAAATTCTAAATTTAATAGAAAAAAATAGGCCTCTTAGAGTGTGTTTGAAGTAATTTTTTAAAAGTATTTCTAGAAATTAATTCTCATAAATACTTTAAAAAAATATTGTTTTAAACTGCTCCACCACCATCACCGCCGCCATCACCACCACCATCCCCATCGTCGTTCCCACCATCATTGCCGTCACCACCACCACTATCACCCACTATCTCTCACCCTCACTTCAAATTAATGTTTAAATTTTTTTATTTTTTTTTTATATTTGTGATTTAATTTTAGATATATATACAAATATATTTTTTATTTTTTATTTTTTATTACTCTGTGTCTTTACGCATATATAATAACTAATATTCAATATTTGAAGTTAAAAGCGGGAGATAAAAAAAAATGAATTTTAAGAGAGGAGAGAGATAATAAAATTAAGTGTAATTTGAAATGATGCGAGAATCAAAAGATGGGTAGAGAAAAGTTTGAAAGAGGCGAGGAAGACATAAACAAAAAAACGCGTTGTATTTGTGAATTCATTTGGCTGATGTATTAAGTTTTTGTCGTTGTCTGAGTTTTTGATTAACGTGTGAAGCTTCTAACCACACGTTTTTTATGTTTTTTTTGATCAGATCTAACCACGCGTTATGACAATATAATAATACACGTAAAATTATGTGTTGTTCATTGCATAATGCACACGTGACACGTGCTATTTCAGAAAATTCACAAACAAGTAGAACACGGCTTGTTAAGAAAGAGGTCAGCCAACTTTTTATCAGACTTCCAACACACCGCAATCTCCTCTGATTCCCATCTTGGGGGTCTCTTCGAAGGGACTCTTCCTTCTTCTTTATTCTGCTACTCAATTCCATATGTATATCTGTACCAGATTTCTGTTCGAATCGTGCAAGATTTCAACATCTCCCACCTGTTCGATCTTTTGTCTCAATGATTTTAAAGTGTAGATTTTTGTGATACGTGTATCCATTTTGGATGCGATAGAATTTCTTGTGTTGATCTTGAATTGACTATTTGATTTTGTAGTTCTTTGCCTCATTCAAATGTCCCTGATGCGCTTATTCAAGAGTATCCTGCTACTATGAAGAGTTCCAAATTCAATCACCACTCGATTTCAGCCCTTCCAGAACAAAACCATGTAAATGGATACAAAATTGATCATGGCCATGTGTTTAACGATCCTTCCGTTATTTCAAACGGAGCAAACCCAGTTGATGAAACTCCCTCGGATGGAAATATTTCTGAGGATCCAGACTATTCCGATGCAGTTCTCAAGTACATAAACGAAATGCTTATGGAAGAGGACGACTTGGAACATACACCTTCCATGTTCCATGACTCCTTGGCCCTCTTAGCGGCTGAGAAATCCTTCTATGATATCCTTGGCGAGAAGTACCCACCTTCACCCAATCAACACCCTACATGTGCTCTCAATCAGTATTCTGATGGCCCAAATGCTGATTTTACTGGGGCATGCACCAGTCAAAGTAGTAACAGTTCTAGTGATGTAAATAACTTTGTTGAGTCCACTTGGATACGTGATCCAGGTGAGTTTGAGTCGTCCCTTGTTCAATCTTCTCGTTTTAACTACTCATTTGAGTCCATCCTGCAGCCAATGCCTTCACATGGCTCTTCAAACATCTTATCTGCTGCTGTCAATGGGCTTGAGGACTCGTATGCGAGTCCATTTTTGTCTCTTGATTCATCTAGAAAGAGTCAATTTGACTTGCAACCCACCGCAGAAAAAGTGACCCACTCCAACTCAAATGATAATTATTCCAGTTATGATCAGGAACTGAACAACATGACTTCAACAGTTTCAGAGGAGGCCGAGGAGAGTGGCAGGGACCATTCACCCAGTGGATCAATGCGAAAGAAAAACCATTATAGAGAAAATAGTGATTATACAGAAGAACAAAGGAGTAACAAACATTTGGCGAGTTATGTTGAGGAATCTGAGCAATCAGAGATGTATGATAAGGTGTTGCTCTGTGAGCCTTTGTTTCACGGCTTGCACATAGAGTCCAATGTGTGTGATACTGATGAAGTCTCACAATATAGAACAAGGAAAAAATTGCAGCAGAGTAATGGATCAAATCGGGGGAGACTGCATGGTAAGGAAGAAAGCATCGGAAGGGAAGTGGTGGATTTGAGAAGTCTCCTAACTCAATGTGCACAAGCTGTGGCAAGCTATGACATTAAGACTGCTAATGAGCTGCTGAAGCGGATTAGGCAACATTCTTCTCCTTACGGTGATGGTACAGAAAGGTCGGCCCATTACTTTGCTAATGCTCTCGAGGCACGCTTGACTGGTACTGGAAGCACACTGTATACAGCGTTCACATCCAGCAGCATATCATCTGCTGATATCTTAAAAGCTTATTATGTGTATATTTCAGCGTGCCCATTCGCTAATATGTCAAGTATCTTTATAAACAAATCTATTTTGAAACTAGCCGATGGAGCAACACGGCTTCATATAATTGATTTTGGCATTCTATATGGCTTCCAGTGGCCCTCCCTTATCCAGACTCTCTCTAACAGGCCCGGAGGTCCTCCAAAGCTTCGCATCACAGGAATAGATTTTCCCCAATCAGGTTTCCGACCAGCAGAGAAGGTTGAGGAGACAGGGCGGCGCCTGGCAAATTACTGTAAGAGATTCAGTGTCCCATTTGAGTACAATGACATAGCAATGAAATGGGATGCAATTCAACTGGGGGATCTCAAGATTGACAGAGATGAGTTACTGGTTGTTAATAGTTTGTACCGGCTGGAGAATGTGCCTGATGAGACAGTCACAGAGAACAGTCCAAGGGACGCTGTTCTGAACTTGATCAAGAAGATTAATCCTGATATGTTCATTCATGGAGTCATTAATGGCACCTACAATACCCCTTTCTTCGGGACACGATTCCGAGAGACACTCTTCCACTTTGCCGCTTATTTTGATATGTTTGAGGCTACTGTACCACGTGCAGATCTGGATAGAATGCAGTTTGAAAAAGAAGTCCTTGGAAGGGCTGTCGTGAACACCATAGCTTGTGAGGGTGCAGAGAGGGTTGAAAGGCCAGAGACACACAAACAATGGCAAGTTAGGATTGTGAGGGCAAGGTTCAGGCAGCTCCCACTTGACCAAGAGATCGTGAATGGGATCAGGGACAAGGTGAGGAGTCATTACCACAAGGATTTCATTGTGGATGAAGACGGAAACTGGATGCTGCAGGGATGGAGGGGTCGAGTCATCCACGGTCTTTCCTGTTGGAAGCCTGTCCAGAACTGATAATAATGCAGTGCTTTCTACAGCTTAAAGTTTGGTGAATCAGGGTGTTCCACTGCTCAAATATTATTGAAACCTATGCAAGTGTATTCTTCATTTGACTTTTGTAATTCTTTGCTGGTTTGTTGTACTATTGTAATTGGATTAACTTGATTCTGATGATATATATGGATGTTCTAGCTAGCATTTTGTCCCTGCGTCACCGGGTAGTTGTTCCATGTTTATTTCAAAGCTGTAATTATACTGGCATGTCTTGAAAAATTAGCTTCTAAATGCATGTGTTAGCGTCCAGGTCATGGCACTCGGCTCCAGCAGCATGTCGTCCGCTATAATCTTTTTTTTTTTTTAAGAGTGCTATAAATGGTCAGGATTTTTTTTCATTATTGTACCGAAAGTACCACAAAATAAAGCAGTCAAATTTTAATTCGGTTAGATTACAACAAAAAGAGGTAGGTTGGGATCGAATCTATATGTTAGAACAGATTCTCATCTCTCTTTTTTGAGTTGTAACTTGACCAAAAGGAGGTCGTCTTATGCATGATTTAATTCCCTGTTTGATGCTTCAGAAGCTATGGGTAACTTGTCATGATTCTTTTGCTATTCAAGAGGAGTCTATGTGATGAGGATCGATGATTTGTGATCTCGCACCCGAAACGTGAGAGGTGTGCTTGAACTGAGGAGCCCAAAACTTGTAAATAGTAGTGTGGGAGTAAATCAGTGGAGAAGAAAATGACTTGAGGTTGAGTGTGGTAGTTGCATGTCATGCTACAGTAAATGAAGAGTAATGGTACGAGCAGTGGTTCACCAGTTGAAGTGCTTGGCTAGTTCACTCTAATGGAGTCTATTGTTCTTCGAAAGTTTTCTATCACTTGAGAAAGATGATAGCGTTACAATTGCAGAGATTACCCTTGGTTGAAGGTATGTTTTTTATATTTATACCCACAGGTGAGATGGTCCTCAAGTTAATATCACATGATTTCCAAATTTGTTAAGATTTTATTGATAGAATATTAGATATTGGATCGTTAGAAACTACATTCCTTAAATGTGATGTGACCTTCTAAAACATGCTGAGTTGGTATTATTGAGCTTAAACACGCTACGGTTTTCCATACCTATATGAATGGTCTTCCTGTGAGGCATTTTGTTTTGGAATGACCTCTTATACTTTGGGTTAATGTCCGATTTAAACACTTGTCCTAAGATGGAGATGCCGATTCTCCTCGTGATGTAGCATGAATAACTTGAATAATGTCGTGCTTGAACGAGGTGGAGTTAAAGTTTGGATTCTTTTGATTGGCTGCAATTGAAGATTTGTAGCCTAAAATATACTTCTTGCTATAGCCTGCTTATGACTCCTATTCCTATGAATTTCCTTGGTTTAAGTAGTTAGAATTTTTTGGTTTCTTAGTTTAGTCTATGTTTTGCATTACTCCAATGTTTTTTGCTACGTTGGTCAATTGGGGGGTTTCTTGTTTTCTATGAGCTTTATTGGCCATGCAATAACAATTCAATATATTTACCAAGAAAATGAAATTAATCAAAATTGAGTTGAGTTTTTAGAGCATCTCTAAGGGTGTTCTTCAAAATAATTAATTAAAATATATTAAAATATTATATTCTTTATTTTAAAGAGTCACTTTTACAAAATTATTTTAACTATACTCTCTATTTTAGTTAATTATTATTAATATTTTAAGTCAAAAATATTGAATAACTTGACAAGTCATCAAAATATTAAATAACTAATCCTTTGGAATGTAAAAAGAGTGATTCGACTTTTCAAATATAAAATAGCTAGCCAAAGGGACTTGTTAAACAAGAGTCATTTAGCCTAAAGATAAAATAGCCAGCAAAATAACTTACCCTTTGAAGTAAAATTTTGTGATTTGGCTTTTTATTTTAACTAACAAATGACTCTTCAAAATTTTTTTTTTATTTGATCAAAAAAAAAACTAGCAAATGTAAAATAGCTATCTTCTTAAAGATGCTCTAACTTTACTTTTATCTTGTAGTAAATTATAATCCAAACGTTGAACACAACATAAAATTAGCACGGAATTAACAAATTTAAACTTCACTTTAATGGGTTCGAATGATATACAATTAGATCTATCAAATAAATAGATTGATACAAACCCACTTAATACAACATGTAGTCGCTAAACTAGGCTTATATATGACACCGACTCGACACGTTATAAACTGCATTATATATAATTATAAATACTAGCAATATCTCTATGTCTAACGATACTCTACAATATAAAAAAAATAAGCATTAATCATGCAATATTTATAATTCACATAGCAATTTATTTTTGCTTTTTCTTTTGTCAATCACATAATTTAAAATTAAATAGAGAGACAATAAAAGAAGTAAGTGTAGATTAGTAAAATTGTGTGACATTATGGAGTATATTAGTTGGGTTGAGTTTTCTTATTTAAATAAGAGAATACTTTTGGGCAGGAAGAATTATTTTTGAATTGAATTTTTTTAATATTAAGTAAAATTAGATGAAGATTTGATTAATATGAACTATTATAATATTTTTATAAATATATAATTTAAATTATTAACTATAATATTAAATAAATAAATATTTTTTTTAAACATAAGATAATTATAAGCACTCACAATTAAATGTTGATTGATTCTTAATCAAGCCGTAGAATGCGATTGGCTCTAACACCATTTCACGAATCCGGGAAGAAATTATGCCCTGGTTTAATGTTGAGTAAATTACACTTTACCGGAATGAACTATTTTCTTTGTTTCATTATTTACTATCAATTATAAAATTTTTCATATTATACTATAAAATATTTATTTTATTTTATTTCACTCTAATAAATAGTGATAAATTTAAAAATCTGTCAAAAGAAGAAAAAAAACCCCAAAGAGCTTCCCGTCAAAAAATTGACAATTGTTACCTATTGGAGTGATACGAAATAAAATTAATACTTTAAGATTTAATGTCAGAAATTTTATAATTTAGGGTATAATATGAAATAATGGTAATAATTCAACGGGTAAAGTGTAATTTACTATTTATTGTTTAATGGAGAGATAAACGAGATGATTGAAGCTGACGAGCTGAAGCAGAAGCCGGAGCGAGCTTCGGAGGTCTAAAATTCTTCCACTGCGTAGCTCTATTTGCAGGAACTATCGATACTAGTTATTTAGTCAAAGGTAATAGCTCTTTTTCAGGCAGCAGAATACGTCTTAGCTGCTAAACTAATCTCATCATACTTTCAACAATCCGTGCTCTTCTCTAATTCCCTTCGTGGGTCTCTCCGAAATTGCGGTTACTTCTTAAATTGGCTGCTCATTTCCCTGTATTTGCACCAGATTTTTGTCTAAAGCTCGTATGATTTCAAGATCCCCCAGCTGTTCGATCTTGTGTCTCAGAGACTTTTGAGTTTAGAAACATATTCTCACTTTGTTCATTTTTCAGAAATTCATACACCCAATTTGGCTTGATCGAATTTCTTGAGTTGATAACTTGATTGAGTTCTTCTCTGACTAGTACAAATGTCTATAGATGCCCTTATTCAAGAGTATCCTGTTACTATGAATGGTTCCAAATTCAATCACCAATCAATTTCAGCCCTTCCAGAGCAAAATCATGTTAATGGATACAAATTTGATCATGGGTTTAAGGATCTATCTGTTATTTCAAACGGGTCAATCCCTGTTGATGACACTCCCTCGGAAAGAAATACTCTCGAGGACCCGGACAGTTCCGATGCAATCCTCAAGTACATAAACCAGATGCTTATGGAAGAGGAGGACTTGGACCATGAACCTTGCATGTTCCATGACTGCTCGGCTCTTTTGTCAGCTGAGAAATCTTTCTATGATGTACTTGGTGAGAAGTACCCCGCTTCATCAAATCAACACCCTTCATGTGCTCTCAATCAGTATTCTGGTGGCCCAAGCGCTGATTCAACTGGGGCTTGCAGCAGTGACAATTCAACAGGTGCGTTTGAGTACTCCCTTGTTCAATCATCTCGTGTTAACTACTCGTTTGAGTCTGTCCGGCAGAAGATGCCTTATCTTGGTTCTTCAAACAGCTTATTTCCCGCTGTAAATGGGCTTGAGGACTCGTATGGGAGTCCATTTTTGTCTCTTGATTCACCTAGTAAGAACCAATTTGACTTGCAACCCAGCGCAGGAAAAGTGACCCTCTACCACCCAAATGATAATAAATTTAGTTTTGATCTGGAATCAGAGGACAAGATTTCAGAAGTCTTGGAGGAGGCCAAGAAGAATGGCACGGACCATTCACCAAATGGATCAAGGGGAAAGAAGAACCATCATCGAGAAAGTAATGATTATATAGAAGAACAGAGTAACAAACATTTGGCGAGTTATGCTGAGGAATCTGAGGAATCAGAGATGTATGATAAGACGTTGCTCTGTGAGGGTTTGTTTCGCGGGTTACACATCGAGTCCAATATGTGTGACTCTGATGAAGGTTCGCAATATGAAACAAGAAACAAGTTGAAGCAGAGTGAAGGATCCAAGCGAGGCAGGCCGCGTGGTAAAAAACAAGGCATCGGAAAGAAAGTGGTGGATTTGACGAGTCTCCTAACTCAATGCGCAGAAGCCGTGGCAAGATATGACCTCAGGACTGCTAATGAACTGCTGAAGCGGATTAGGCAACATTCTTCTATTTCTGGTGATGGCACAGAAAGGTTGGCCCATTACTTTGCTGAAGCTCTTGAAGCACGCTTGGCTGGTACTGGGACTACACTGTATACTGCTTTCACTACCAGCAGGATATCAGCTGCTGAAATCTTAAAAGCTTACCAGCTGTATATTACAGCATGCCCATTCAAGAAGATGTCAATTCACTTTGCAAACAAATCCATTAGAAAACTAGCTGCTGGAGCAGCAAGGCTTCACATAATTGATTTTGGCATTCTATATGGCTTCCAGTGGCCCTGCCTTATCCAAACACTCTCTGAGAGGCCTGGTGGTCCTCCAAAACTTTGCATCACAGGAATAGATCTTCCCCAATCAGGTTTCCGACCAACAGAGAGGGTTGAGAAGACAGGGCGGCGCCTCGCAAATTATTGCAAGAGATTCAGTGTCCCATTTGAGTACAATGTCATAGCAATGAAATGGGATACAATTCAACTTGACGATCTCAAGATTGATGGAGATGAGTTGCTTGTTGTCAATTGTTTGTATCGGCTAGAGAATGTGCCTGATCACACAATAGCAGCAAACAGTCCAAGGGATGCTGTTCTAAACTTGATCAAGAGGATCAATCCTGATTTGTTCATCCATGGAGTTGTTAATGGGACGTACAATACCCCTTTCTTCGGGACACGATTTAGAGAGGCGCTGTTCCACTTCTCCGCTCAGTTTGATATGTTCGATGCTACTGTGCTACGTGAAGATCAGGATAGATTGCTATTTGAAAAAGAGGTCTTTGGAAGGGATGCCATGAACGTCATAGCTTGTGAGGGTACCGAGAGGGTTGAAAGGCCAGAGACATACAGACAGTGGCAAATTAGGAATGTCAGGGCAAGGTTCAGGCAGCTACCACTTGACCAAGAGATCGTAAAGGATGTAAGGGGCAAGGTGAAGTCTCATTACCACAAAGATTTTGTAGTGGATGAAGATGGCAACTGGATGCTGCAGGGATGGAGGGGGAGAGTCATCTATGCTCTCTCCTGTTGGAAGCCTGTCCAGGAGTGAGAATACAGCGGTGTTATTACAGCTTAAGATTGATGAATCATGGTGCTCCACTGCCAAAGTATTTTTTGAAACCCAAGAAAGAGTACTGTGCCCTTAGTCATTGACCTCTATATTTTTTGCATGTTTGTTATACTGTTGGATGAACTTAATTCTCATAATATATGGATGTTCTAGCTCTCTGTCCCTTCATCACCAGCTAATATCATCCAAGTTGCTGCCTGTTGATTTTCACCAGCAAGGGTAGGGTGATGTTGGGTTTGTGTTGTGTTAAAATGTTCCCAATTGAGACCGTTCTTGGCCAAATGTGTCGACCTCATTTTGGAGCTTCAAGGCAGATCCATCTGCCTGGGTTCGGGTTTCATTCGTGAGGTTTGAATAATAGAGTTTCCAAATCCCTTGTGACTAGTCTTTGTTATGGGTTGTTAAGCATTTTACAAGCTTTTAATAAACCAAGAAGCTTTAGAAGCTTCTGGATTGAACCTTCTGATAATTTACTGTTTTATCTAGGCCAAATGATGAAGCTGGTATGGGTTTAATAAGAACCATGTTTGTTTCCCAAATCTGATAGATTTGTTGGGTCGGTTTTGTTATTTTTTGTTGGCTTTGACTTTGTTATATTCTTATTCTTGCAATTTGAATTCCTCTATGAACTTTTAACAGTTTTCATTCTGATAATGTGTTCTTTTCTATTGTCCTGCGAGAGGGTTTGTGTGTGACCATGGTTTTTTCGAACCATGTTCTTTTTACCTTTGTTAGTGATTTGAACTCTATATAGTAATATTCAATTTCTTGAAATATATTTAGTCACATAAAAAATAGACACTAAATTGTAGATGACCTACAAAGAAAGTTCTCGGGATATTAGAGTATGATGCCTTAGATTTGTGGTCATTGTATCCTTTGTCTTTACGGGTTATTAATTTTAAAATAATTAGAGAATCCTCCAATTCTTTTTGCATGGTAAAGGTCTATCCACGCCAGCAAATTTAATCTATCTTATGGTTACTTGTTTCTTTTTCACATTATGGGAAAAACATGTTGTATTGTTGTTTCTTTAAACACACTTTTGTATCAAAGTATAGTATTACCTTCTTTTGGACTTAATGTAGGTACAAGACGAAATGTTGCACTACTCTCAGGACATGTAAAAAAAAAATCATAACCTCCGAACTCTGGTCAAAAAAAAAAAAAACCTTATAGGAGTTCTCAAATGGACATTATTTAAAAAATAACAACTTAATCCTAATTTACCAGGAATTAAATAAATTAAAGAAAATTCAGTCAAATATGGGATTAGCAATTTAAGTTTTCCTAGTCATAAAGTACAGAGGGTGTATGTTAAAACATAGGAAACTTAAATCGATTCCCTGCGCCATTGATATGCTTACAAGTTTACTGTTACAACTCCAATTAGAACATTAAAGCATACCCAAAACAATTATGATCATCTTATGAAATGAATCACCTGATGGCTGATTCACACCTTGGAGTTCTAAGAACACTCCAGTCCAGCTTCTCACGCTTTCGTTGCTTGTGAGAACTTCTACTGTTATTAGGCAACGACCATCGATCGACTTGGATATTTTTCTGTGATTTATTTGGGTATCGTGCTTCAGAGACTGCTTCCGCTTGTCCAACCATCTAGTTTCAAGGCCTCTGATTCATCTTGGGTGGACACATTCTCTATGTAACAATGAACAAATCAGAGATGTGTATGTAAAATTTGGATTAACTCAATAGAATTTGTCTTCTGTATCATTTCATAGTCATAATTCTATTTCTAGAGCGCACTGTAATATACAGCAGGTATGTAAATGTTACACAGTAGCATCCACACCTCCCATGTAAGTTGCTTTGAATGGATAAAGTATAATGAATTTTAGGGGCTGGACACGTGTTTCCCAGCCTACTCTGCATATAACTCACATGGATTTCCCACGAGCACCCAGCGAAAATGTAATGTGAACAAAATTTGAGGCAAGATGAAAAAGAAGGGTAAAACAACTAAATCAGTGAATCTTACTAAAATTAGGATACGGTTCTGGTTGCAAATTGCAATACATTAATTAGTGGAGTGGATTAAGTAGTTTACTATGTTTACATTCCTATAATAAGATTATTGAAGTCCGCCAACATCTGCAAAGTGGGTTAGATAATATCATTGCAAACACACAACTTCTAATTCACTTGACAATCAAAAGACAACTTAATACCAACTCAAATCAACCATGGGGCTACTATCCAGTTTAGCTACACAAGTCCAACGTTGCCTTTCTATACATGGTCGGGTTTTCTGCCAAATATAAACTAAGCATAAGATGGATGCTCAAAGGGTTTCTCTCAACAATTCTCACGGCAGGTTGCAGCATTTTTGCTGATATTATTTTAAAATTTTCACTTTTCAATAAAATAATAGACCCATTCATGAAAATATCAAGATTGACTTGTGATAGAATCATCCTGGCAGATTTCCAACGATCATGAGAGAAATTACCAAAACAGTAATGTGCTAAGAGAACTTGAGGGTCAAGTTACCAACCTATCAAAAATTAATACACTGTTACTGCTAGAACATGGGGCAGAAGCTTCTGTTTGACGAATATTTGATCCTTCTTCATTCAATTTCTACCAAGACAAGGCTTTGACATGAGGACACCAAAAACTACAAGAGCACAGGAAGTGAATAGTGTTTAAATTAATTTTCAGGCCATTCAACCCATTTACTCACATCAATAGAAGGATTAAAACTTTGAAATGACATCCGCCCTTTTATTGTTCCAGGATGGGGATCCATAATGACTAAACTGCAGGTGAAAATAAATTGGAAAGTACACTCAGAAAAATTATAAAAATAAATAAATAAGCATCTAAGATGGGCAGTGCGCTAGCAGCAGCTATTCAATTATGAACCCATTTTTGCAAACATGTAAACAATATTAATAATGTATTATGACAAAAAAATAACCCACACAAAACTAGGTTATTTACAATGTTCATCCTGATAAATCCAACTCAGAACCAATTAGTAATAGGTGCAAGGCTTATACTAGTTTGGGAGGCTGCACTTTCGTTGAGGAACAAGCTGCCATTTACAACACTCACCTCACCCCACCCCCACCCCAAAGAAAAAAGAAAAATAAAGAAAGGAAGTTCTAATGATGCAAGCTCGTGGAGAGAGGCAAAAAACAGAAAAAATAACCAAGAGTGTCTTTATTCACAAAAAAAAAGACCAGAGCAACGTGCAATTAGAGAAAAGAGAGGAGGAAGCAAATTCAAATAGAAAAGAAATACATTAACCAATAACCACCTAAACTCACGTCTGATGTCATTTTGATGAATCCGACCTAAAACTAACAGGCAGTACGTGGAAAGGCCCACAAAACAAAAAGTGAGACATGAAGAATTGGCATGCATCAAGCAGGTTTAAATCAAGCCACCTTGTATGATAGCACAAGGGACTATTGCAATGCAGCCAAAATGCCAGAGTTGATTGCTCCATTATCTTATTTTTCTTTAAAATGATGGTGGCTAGTATTTAAGACAGAGAGAGGATGGAAGACATTAGTGTCCAAACAATGCAATCTCTAAAAATAATTTAAGGAGTCAGCTGTACTATACAGATTATATAAAATTGCTAGCTCATTATCACCATATGAAAAAGAGAAAATAAAAACCAAACTTGATATATGATATTATGATGTACAAGAATCCAAACATCAAAGCCCCAAAACAAAAAACTAAGTCAAAGACTCTCCCCAAAAGGCTGCAGTTTGATGAATACAGGATCAATTGTTTGTCAATGCAACATGATTAGGATCAGAAATTCTGGATGTTAGATAAATGCTTCGGGAAAAGAAATTTAACTAGCACCTAATCCAAAGATGAAGGTAGGGACACACATATAGAACCTATGCACATACTGAGATTCATCACAAGAAAACTAGTTAGCATTCTTATGTGTGAAAAGCAGACAGGTCAACATAAACGATGCTTCAAGACCAAGAGTTTTATTCTTAACATTGTTGAGCTCCGAAATGACTCAATACCCAATGACATGCAGAGATGTACAACACACGATGCTCAAAAAACAGTAGCAGATCATGCAAGAATGAAAATATAGGAAGTACATGTGTGCAAGTGGGATCCAAAAGCCTTATCGTACTTTCATAGATTCCTTGGGTCCAAATGATATTACAGGCACATCAAGCTGCCTAATTTGTGGTTAATGCTTAAACAAATAATTACAGTCTATAGATGCCCATTATTGCAACTAGTTTTCCAACCAAATTGTAGCTCACATTCTCTTCTATGAGAAGAAAGAATTGCCTTCAAGTTAGATTTTATAGTTTGAGGTACCAACTTCTATTCAACACAAACAAACATATACACAAACATTCAAACCTATAGGCAACACGAACACACTATATAAGTGCATTGAAACTAAACCAGGCAACAATGGTAAATTTATTTTGTTCAACATAGCAGTATGCAAAAAATGACGAAACAACTCTCTTCCCCAAGAAACTCGCTATGCACAACACGGGTACACAATGTCGCATACAGTAACATGTACTCCTTGATTATTACTAACCATAAATTGCAAAAAAAGCTACGCAATTGCACAGTAAAACAAATTTAAAGAGTCAATGTAATTCAAAGTCCATCAAAGAATAAAAGAGAAACAGAAGATTAGGAAAAATACCATCTTTTTGGGGCACCACAGGATGGAAAGTTCCCATCAGGTATGATCTCCTCTTCCTTTTTATCTTTGTCCTCTCTCTGAACTGCCCTTTGCATGAACCGTAGAACAGAACCGTCAAAAAACCGACCTCAACAGCGCAGTTTCAAGAACTTGAAAGATTGAATAATGAAAGCAAGATCCAGTTCACATCTTTAGCCACTTCATCTTTACAGATAAAATCATCAGAGAAAAATGTATGAAGTTTTACCTTCAAGTTCCTTAAAGTGCTGGATAGCCCGGGCTTGGACATTGCAAATGGTGCGAACCTCCCTCAAGATCACGATACCTTCAGCTCTCTCTCTCTCTCTCAATGTGTGAAGTTTCTCCCGTTCCGAGCGATCTCACGCACCAGAAGCAGAACGGCCGTGCCGCTCAGAGTTTTGGAGGAACAAAATTCCGTTTGAGTTCATAAAAACCAAAGGGTGCCTATAATCATAATCAATAGTGATTTTCTGGGACCTAAATGATGCCCTCATCTTTCTGTAATTTCGGTCGACACAAATTCGATAATAAGATAATAGATATTTTGCACTTTACACCATTGAAAGATTTTAAATTTTTTATTTTATGCATTTAAGTATTAAATTTTTTTATATTATATGTTTAATGTATTAAAAGAGTTTTAATATATTCTTTCTGTTAATTTTTATTATTTTTTTTGGTCAAAAATCAATTCATTAACAATGAGAAATGAAAAATTAACAGAAGGATCACATTATCACATTTTTAATATATTAAATAAATGTATAATATAAAAAATTTAATCTTTGAAGATATAAAATAAAAAATTTAAAACATTTCAAGTTGCAAAATACAATAATTAATAGAACTACTCAACTACATAAAAAAAAAAAGGATAATTAATCTAAATAAAAAATTAGTCTCTCTCTCTCTTTTTGATATGTAATGT